TTTTTTTTCTCAAACTAAAGTACTTGACGTTGCAGTTCGAGAATCACCTGCAAAGTTTGGGATTCATCTTTGGGAAATGGATAGCGAGAAGAGCATGCTGAAAGAAATCTTTTCCGTTAGCGCTGAGGAATGCCCATTGAGGTTTGCATTGTTTTTTTTATTATAAAAGTATTCATGGGGCCAGCCTTTAAGCCTTGAATGGGACCAGCCGAGTGGACAAATATCATCGCTGTTCCAGTCATCTGTACAAATTTTTGACTCTAACTCGAATTTGAAGGTAGGTTTGACTTTTTCAAGCCTCGTCAAGTATAATTCATTAAACTTGCAGCAGAGTCTTACTTAATCCTTACAGGTGAACACAAAGCTATTGTTGAATGGTAATGCACATGCTCAGTCGTGGAATCCCCACAGTGGTGGCAATCTGCTGGGATTGGCGGTGGATAACGACATTATATGCTATGATTTGCGTACGTCAGAGTGAGCGCCACAAATTATTATTATATGTCTTGGTCATTAAAGTTGGATCAACCATACTCTAGAAAGGCTCTCCTTGTCCAAGATACTCACGCTCACCGCGCTCTTCACCTGGACTTCAATCCCAACTTGCAACATGTGTAAGTTCTTTGCTATAGGCAATTACTCTGAGATTCCTATTGAGTTACTTCAATGAGGGCAACGTCCTTCTTTCAGAACGATCTTATTTTTAGAGTCGCCTCTTGTGGAGACGATGGTGCTGTCCGATTATGGGATTGGCGCCAACCCGACACATCTCTTGTAACAGTTGTACCACACGCTCACTGGGCTTGGCAAGTATGTCAACTGTCCAATGATTACACAAATGTGTGATAGCGTCGAGCAACCATACATTCAGGTTCGATTTCATCCCGTCCACGATCAGCTGATCTTATCAGCGGGAAGTGATGCAACCGTAGTTCTATCATGTGTCCTGTCTGCGAGCAGTGAAATGGGAGACTTAGGTCTTGATGGTCCATCTGAAGATGCAGATGAAGAAACAACCGAAAAACTAGAGGATGGCCAATTGGAAAGGATAGAGGAGCATGAAGAATCAGTGTAAGTTGTTGTGTCGCTTAAGAACCACTGCGAAGTAGAGTTAATACATTATTTCGTAGTAGTAGTGTAGCACACCAAATACGAAAAATAAAAACAGAATTCTAATGCGCCAAAGGTATGGATATCGTGCGATACACCATATAGTCATAAAGTTTTCTTTCCTATTTCTGTGGTTGCACAAGATCCCATATTGGCGACAGAGCATGTCAACTTCGATTGGTTGTTCTTGTCCTTTCTCATAGTTCTTACTCGTCTTTTCAAAATGAATATCTTACAGCTTTTGTTTGCCGTTTTCTGATTGACATCACTTTTTGTCAACGTGGAATAATTGAACATATAGTTGTGTGTTAGCAAAATCATAGTAAAGATGAAACAGAAAGACCAACGAAATTTGAAAGTCGCAATAAGAAAATAGTTTAAGTCCCAACTGTCACTGGATATCCTCCATCCATCTGAAAATACTTACTTACTTAGATACTTAATGCCCTGTCTTCACTTGTCGTGCAGGCCGCAGCACTGTTTCAATCCGTTTCTGCCTCTCGCCAGCGTCATCCACGATATTAGTATTGAACTGCGGCGGCGACGTTCACGAGGTCCACATCCATTACCAGCTGAGAATTCAGCTGGTTCATCCGTGCAACGGCACAGCCTATTTGGTCGATGGCCTCCTCGAGGACGTTTTGCTCGCGAGAGATCCATTCCAGAGTTCTTAGTGTCCATCTGTCGTCTGTTCTTCTCATTATATGATCAGCATCGATGTTGTGCCTTAGAGACGTACTCCGCTGGGTCGCCAAGACGTGACATTGATCTCCTGAATTGCGAAGTCCGACGAGATGTTGAGTGCGTCTGTTGTACTTTAGAAGACGTGTTTCAGCGCTTTATGGGTTACTCGAAGTGCCTTTGACGTATCCACAGTGTCGGGCCACGTCTCTGCTGCTAACAGAGCGCAAGGAAAACGGTTGAATCGAACAGGTGGGCTCGGAGCTCTGGGTTCGTCAGTTCTTTGACTTCCGTTAGGGGCTCGAAGGCGGCCCAAGCTGCTCTTCGCCTCTGTTTAAATCTTTTTTTTCAGATTGTTTTCCATGTTCATCGAACGCCCCAGATATACGTAAGAATATGTCTCCAGATCAACATTGTCTCCCCTTCAGTGGTACTCCTCGAGAAGAGAACAATGTCGTCCGCAAAACGAAGGTTCGAGAGGAATCTCCCATCATCGCATACCTTTCTCGTTCCATGCCAGTGATTTCATCACACACTGCAACGCGGCGGTAAACAGCTTTGGCGATACGGTGTCGCCTTGTCGAACCCCCTTTGAAGTTGGTATGTTAAGGGGACGATGGGAAAGCTGTGCCGTTGTGGAGCAGTTCTTGTAGCAGTCGGCCAATGTCTCCACGTAGATGGGTCCACCCCTTGGTCGACGAGCGCTGACAGTATGGCATTAGTC